TCCGCGACACACTCTCTTTTCTCTCTTTCTGCAATATACATGACCGACTCGCTGAGAATTCAGACAATAGCCTGGGAGGACAAGCCAATAACGAAAGTTGCTAAACTTGACTTTCAGGTTGTTGCTTTCGGCCACTTGTTCTCGATTGCTTGCTTAATGCTACGCAACACGCCGCCATCGGGTGTCTCCCGTTGACTTATTTAACACGTGTAAAGCTACTTCGCTGCATACATCTTTTTCGATTCTTTGCTCACCCCGTTCCTCTTCTCTCTCTTTCTCTCTGTATTTCCATTTTGTTTCAGTTTCTTTCTTTTAGCTCCCAAGTGGGGACTCTATCGGGGCCGTTCTGTTCCCAGCAAATTAACATTTGCATTATATTCTAATGTCATTATTTGAACAAGATTTATGTAATCTTCCACTTGCACATTTTCATACGAATTCATGCTTTTTTGAAAATGTAATTGGAAAAATAGAATCACGATAGCAAGTATTACAGAAAGTATAGAAAGTTAATATTTTATACATATATATTAGTATTATGAGCAATTTAATTTTGCACTTGAAAATTTATTTCCATCTTCTATCAACTCGATATAAATTAAACATGACCTCCGATTATTAATCTAAAATTGGAAGTCCACTTGTTAACTATATCCTCATACTTGTCTTTCTAATTATTTCGTGTTTCGTGCACGGAAAAGATTTATTCGTGTAGAAAGGAAATTTACGTTACCGATTTTCGTACGTTTCATTTTCTCGCCCTTTTTCACCCTGTCTTATATGTCGAAGAACTTGAGAAGACAGGAAGGGTCCGAAGATCGGCGTAGATCACGGCTAAACTTGACTCTCGGTTCAACGAGAGGTTCCTTTTCTCTCTTCTTATTGCCATCCTACGTTTACGATCATTCTCCCTTGGTCTTTCTCGTCTCGTGGTTTCACCGAACGTCGTGGGTGTTGCACACTGTCAGCCGTACATCTTTCCATCTTTAATTTGACGTCAGGTGCATCCGAGTATCGAGTACCGATTGGAAATCGTCGTGTCATGTATGATACAAACACTTTTGCTCAAACTTGCGTGTCCTAAGTGATGAACATATGGAGGACGAATTTAGTTTGAAAATCTCTGGTTACCTCAATGACATGGATCGTGTCGTTCTTCGTAAAACTTAAATTTCGTTTAATTAATTTCAAGTCTCGTACAATTCTAACTCTGTAACATGTAATTAATTAACGTTATCTTTAATGAAGTTCTCACTGAAGTTTTAATGAAGTTTTCGATAAAAAAAACAAAATATTAAATTTGAATTTGTAATTGATATAATGTCAAACAAGATACTTCACAGTACCAAAGACTATATTTATTCAAAAACGACTTGCCACCTATGATACTACAATTATAATAAGTATTACATCCATTATTGATCTTCCAAAAATCACTCTATGACATATCAACTAAAATTTTCTACTTTTATCGTTACAAGTCGATACAAACACAACTCGTAGCTAATTAGAAGCACAAGTGTAATTGTGACTGGTCAACAGTGTATTAAAACGCCAGAAACTCTTACACTCTGTGTGGAAACGATTTTTCGACTAACTTCCGACCACGTGTCATGCATGTTTTCCGCGTTTTTGTTAAACAACCGGATTGTAAACAGCGTGAACTATCCAATGATCTCTCTTGGCCGGGACGGTGTTCACCGAGTGGGTGGCGGCGTTTCACGTGGGCAGAGGACATTAACGTATCGATATATATGTATAGCAGAGCACGATTTGATCGAACTCGATCGTCAAATATACATGCCAGACAGCGCGACACTGATGATGTTTACGAGTCGAATACCAGAATATCCAATGAATTGAAACTCTCGGAAACTCGTGGAGAACCAACATGGAGGAACTCGGTATCTCGGCTGAAGTAGCAACCGGAAGTTTGAACAGGACGTGCGAAAATTGCGTCGTTACGGCGTCGAGTTCCCTAGTGGCTCTGGATTCCATTATACGAATGAAATTATCGATAAATTTCATTCGAAATCAACAACTTTAGGACAGACTTTTTCTGATGTAGAACGACAACATATACTTCTATAATATATAGATACCTACACGTATATACATAGATATATTTTTAATATATTGTCTGTTCCATTACTGTGAGTTCTCCTTTCTCCGTTTTGACCGATAGAAATTTCAAGATTGCCCATTGGATCATATGACGAAAGTTCTTGAAGATTTGAAACTTCCCGAGATTTCATTTGGTCCTCCATCAGAGGATTTTTATCAAAGCATTTATGAGAAAAAGTATTTCTGACTCTCGTGTTGCGCAGGAATTTAGCAAGACGAGCGTCTCGGTGTTACCAAAGTGGCATATAAATGAATACACCGCAGTACGATTTTCCGCCGATCGTCAATGGCTGGAGAAACTGTGCCACGAATGACTTGGTTTGCCGAATCGCCGAGTGTCTACCGGCAAAGTTTCATTTTCATGAGTTTCATGTGTTTAATAAATTTG